CACACACACACACATGCACATGTGTCTGAAGATCCAAAAAGTTCAGTTGTTTCATATCAGATTTTAGTTTTGGTATGTTCTCCGTTGAAGTCCTTGTTGTTTAATTCTTCCTGCCTGATCTCTATCACACTTTTTATTATTTACATATTCATTCACTTTCACTCATTTGTCAGACGCACTTATCCAAAGTGACTAAGTTTTCAGTGCAGCCGGAGAGCTTGAAGTTAAGTGTTGAATCTGTTCGAGAGACGAGAGGCTGTTGAAGACGCTCCTGCTCTGACACTCAATTTGTCTGGATTATCAGGAATGGTTCATTCCATGAAAATAAGTGTCCAGGTCTAAACAGGGTCATCGTCACTTTCACAAACTTTTTTTCCAACTTTCTCCCCCAGAGGTTTTAGTTCAAAATTCTTCTTAATCCCGACTAATCTCACTTGTTTCTCCTGGGTCAGCTTTGATTGACGGCCGCTGACACTCGCAAGGTTGAAGCCAACATTTAAGGCTTAGTCCAGACACGGGAGGACAAAGCAGGCTGTCCCGCAGTGCTTCTGGCTGAGGACACGATACTGTGCAGCCGCTTGACCCCTGGAAGTCATAATATCAGCCTGCAGCTCCAGAGACAGGAGGCCGTGCTCTGTCTGCCCCGAGCCAACGTGCTCAGCTGGTGCTGGAGCGAGGAGAAAAACCTGTTTGGGAAAACAAGAGCTTCGGTTTCCCGTTCTGACCAGACTATAATTAGAGAGAGAAAAAGATTACAATATGGCCGACGATGCCACAACACGCTCCGCTATCATGCACGCACACACGCATCCGCTCATTTGTGGCTCCTGCAAACCCAGTAGGACGTCCACTAATCCGGCAGCACATTTACAATCTGTGCAATGACAACTTGATACCCCCAGCAGGCCCCGGCGAGCACACACCTCTCTTTATGCTGCTCATGCCTCCCGAAGCCCGAGCATGTACGTGTCAGCGGCAACAGCTGCGTCTCCACCCCTCCCTTCCTGTCACACCTGGCCTCAGATCAGCTGACTGCTCCTCTCATTCTCTCTGCGAAGAGTAGTATCCGATATGTGACCAGCGATGGCCTAACGTCAGCGTAAACCCCCCTGTGGTGCAGCGGCGAGTTCACTCGTATCGGATCATCGTCCCGCTTCATGTCTCAGTCTCTGGCTCTGCTGTCGGCCCTCAGTGTGTCAGTGAACGGCGGTGGAGTATTGAAGACATCCGCAGCATGACAGTGATACTCGGGCCATTAGCAGCTACGGAGACACAACCATCCGGCCCTCCAACCCTAATCTGTCTCCGCTAAAAGCCTCAGAAATGCAACCTTATACGGCGCCTATGGGAATATGTGTTTCCAATCACTCTGCTCGGGAACGAATACCTGGCGTTTCTCGCTGCTGCTCTTTTTTTTCTCGCCCCCGTCTCCTGTCCACTCGGTTTTCAGTAAACACCAGGCACAAAATCTCGGGGCTGTTCGGAGGCGCTTGAGAGCGGGCTTCACTTTCCCAGACTCGGAGATTCCACGAGGGGCTCCTTCATCAAGCTGTCATATCGGGCTAATGAAAATCTCATTCTGCAGAGGGATCCTCTTAAAGCTGCTAAAGGCGCATGCTAACCAGGGGATTAGCCCTGTAACGCTAGGGGACTTTAATTTCAGCACCAGCATAAGTCATCACCACTGAGCACTAACATTGATATATGGCTTAGGACTGACTAGCGTGTGAGGTAAGAGGTTTGTGCCGGGGCGGATGTGTTGCAGGGGGTTTCGGTTGAGTCTCACAAGAGGCCTGGGATGATTGTGACTGACATGATGAGACCCTGTAAATAAAACCAGTCCGGCCTCAGTTTGCGAACGCGTCAACTACATTCGTCTTCTGTTGTGTCTTCGCTAAGAGACTCAAAGCATCACGTGCTGTCATCAGGTTCTGGAGAAGAATCGAAGCATCCATGGCGAAGGAAACAAATCAATGTCTGCAGCTGCTTCTGACGTGCCCCTGAGCAAAGCACTACTTCAGTGGTAACTGGGTATTAAAAGTGTACAAGCCACAAAGCATCGTGCACCACGTGGTGGATTTCTGTATGAAGCCGTTGTGGGAATTATCTTTGCATCTAAAGCTGCAGAACCACACCACCAGTCATGTCAAGTCAACGTGGCCACATGTTGCTTTTGCTTAAATGAAACACATGATTGTCTGAATATATCTTTCAGAGTTCAGGACCTGAAACTTGATTTAAAGCTTCGGTAGGTTTTTTTTTTTCTTGAAATCGATGAAAGGCAGCTCTTGACCCTGAGGTCTAACAACAGAACTGAAGAAGCATTGTCACATAAAAAACATCCTCAACATGTGCAGTTACCTTTGTACTTAGAAATACTTTCACCTGGAAGACTGACGATCTTCACAGACATCTAATAAACACTGGCAGCTTTTTACTCTCACGGATAGAAATGTGTTTGGCATCACGCGGATCTTTTAATCATGGAAATAAGGACTCGAGACTTGAGACTCACTGAGGACATAACTGAAGGACCAAAATATAAATGTTTGATTTCAAGGTCTGTACATTGAAGGAAGTTCACAAAACAAAAGTTTTTTAATAATAGATTCTGTTTTGTATGCACCTCCAAATCCATGTTGTATTCCTGAGAACCTGTTAATATGAACCCGTGGGTTTGCGTTGACTGACACATGCAGGTTTAAGATCACAAAGGAAGTTTTCTAAGGGTCAGGGAGTTTATTTTTGTCCTCGCATGTCTTCCAGTACTTTCGTCTTTGCCTCACTGATTTTGGACTTTATGCCAAATGAGCATCTGGAGTCACTGACTGTCATGTCAAGTTTAACCAAAACTGAAAAAAACTTGTAATTTCCCCAAAAATACTTAGAAACAATTCTCTCTGCATTTGTTCTCATTTTCCTCTCCTCTCTCTCTCCTCCTGAAGGTTTTACCGGGGCGACTATCATATCGACGTCTGCATCAACGACTACCTTGACGTCTACTGTCCGCACTACACCGCCCCGGTGGCTGACGAGCGGGCCGAGCGCTACGTCCTCTACATGGTGAACTATGACGGCTACAGCTCCTGCGACCACACCGCCAAGGGCTTCAAACGCTGGGAGTGCAACAGGCCTCTGTCGCCGAACGGGCCGCTCAAGTTCTCCGAGAAGTTTCAGCTCTTCACCCCCTTCTCCTTAGGGTTTGAATTCCGCCCCGGCAGAGAGTACTACTATATCTGTGAGTATCCACTTACCTTCCTGGAGTATTTTCAGGATTGATTGTAGTTTTTTTTTTTTTTTCCATAATTTTGTAAATGGCCTTGAAAACTTTGTGATTTATTCAAATGGAAATTTTTCTTTTTATTTAGTCGTTGATCCGCCCTCGGTATCGATGTAGAAGCTCAGGTGTGATATCAGGATGAGTGAGAGACACCCAGCTCCACCCTGGTCTTAAATCAGCGCGTCGGTATCAGTTTCATCTCAGAAACTTTCAAAAACACAGCAGCAGTGTTTGGGTTTTGTTTTGAAAGTCCTTGGAAAGATGGCTGAGCCAAAACACGAGCCGGAGGGAGCAAAACATCTACTGTCAGGTCTCGTCTGAAGCTCTTTTTTTCTTGCTGCTGACTGGCTGAACTCAGCTTCCTCCTCCTCCTCCTCCTCGTCCTGCTCCTCGTGAGAAGTCTTGGGAAAACAAGCAGCTGGGAAGTCGTGTTTTCATAAGTGAAGTCAGTGCCCTGCAGGGGCAGAAGAGAGGGACTAACCGAGATACAGGCAGCTCCACGGTAGATTTGAGGAATTTAACCGACACTTGAGGTTAGAGGAACTTCATAAGTTTTACCAGGAACCAAAAGTAAGGAGAGTCGGAACATGAGAATATCAGATCCAGGGAAAAGATTTGGTCGAGAGCTTTTCAGCCTCCAGACTCAGAGCAGGTGTTTTGGAAAAGCTTTTTTAAAATCTAAATTCTTAAAGAAATCACATGAGCTCATCGGACCAATCTCAGACATGTATGGACGACATGGCCCCTCCCCAATAGCCTCCTCCATGTTAATGGCCCAAAGTAAAAAGTCAAATTACGCGCTTAAGTTATCGTGGTAGTTCTTATCACACGGGGGTAAGTCAAAGGGTTAATACATTTCCTTTTAATTAGTTATTTGATTGTATTAAAATCAAGCTTGTGTATCGACGGGACCTGCATGTCGTCCACATCATCGAAATTGTCCTGATGCGAGTTTAACCAAATCTAAATGTCTAAATCTCTTCACTACATCCCTCTGATGGATCTGAGACTGTGTGACTCACTGCATGAAATGTGACTGTTAGTGGAAGTTGTAGTTTCCCAGAGAACAGATGACGTTCTTACAGCCCCTGGATGCCGATAAGAAAAATCATAAATATGCCTAATTCCACTTCATTTGTTCCGTTGCTCGTGGTTGATGTGATACGAAAGGGAAGACGAGTTTCTCTCAGACTTTGATGATGATTGATCGTCTTACGATAGAGAGAGAGAGAATGGCAGAGAGTCCGTACATATGGCTTCGAGCAGCTTCGGGCCATATGGACCATCTCTCGCTGACTCAAATTCATGACTCATCCATCAGATCATTGTTCACAGAGGACACGTTTTTTCCTCCTCTGAGAAGACGGGCTCCGAGCACGGTATGAAATAACAAGAGACACCTCAGGGAACATGCCGTGACCATTTACTCATGGAGATTAACATAATACCAGTATTTGCTCTCATTGTGTAGAGTTGTGTAGTTGGAAAGAGGAACTGCTTCAGGAAGTATTTTTTACTATGATGAAGGATTTGGTAGGATATCCTCCGTGCGTCAACACTGAAGTATATCAATACTATAAGTTTATTTTGTAGAAGTGAAACTACAACAGTATAATGAACTCATATGATAATAGTTACTACACATTTAAGAGTAAACACATCGTGCAGAAATAGATCACATGCATTAATTTGGAGTTGTGCTTTAACCTGACGGTTAAAACTACATCGAACCAGAGAAGCTTCGTCGCTCTGGACTGAAAAAGTTAAACAAAACAAAACTGTTAAAAGAGGCTAAAGTACTCTGTAGACGTGAAGCAGCTGCAGAGTTCATAATTCTCTTCCTCTCACATTACAAAGTAATTGAATCCATTGTTAATAAGAAATGTTTATTGGTGCAGCTGAATTTTCTAACAGGTTTCTGCAGTTTAATCCTTTGCTTTAGCGCGTTGTTAGAATTTCAGGCCTCGGTGACTGAATGTTTTGTGCTGAAAACATTTTTATCCCCGCAGGCTTTTACTTTCTATTCTCATTTCCAAAGAACAAGATATTTTATAACGCAGTTTCGTATAATTTGTACTCGAGTTTGACGTCTTTCCAAACCTGGAGTTGTTCCAAGCACCGTCAAACAACAGGACTCTTCAAACGGTTTTCTTTAATTAACTGAAAGTTAATTTCATCCGTCACTCACTCTTTCTTGGAATCTTGGAAAATGTATATTAATGCAGTAAGAAAATACATAAAAAACATGTTTTCCCCAGATGGATCCGTGTTTTTCTTCCCATCAGCATCATCCAGATCCAGAACCTCGGTGAAGGACTCTGTGTTTTATCAGCTGCTGGTATCAGAGTCAAGTTACGTGTTAACAGTGTCTTTCTTTATCAAAGCCAACAATAGCTGACAGTTAATACCTGTGTTGTACAGATAATATGGTTTGGGAATCTGCTAAGTGGTCATGTAAGTGACATAGAAGGGAGGTTCATGTCTGCTTGTCTCGGTGAAGACAGACGCTCCTTTGTCCTCCGTCGTGGTGATTGTCATTTGCCCGAGGCGGGGGGGGGGGGTTGGAACAGAAGGCGGGGCCACGTCAAATAGATGACACCTGCAGTTGGCTACCGGCCTGTCCGTCTGGCAGTGAGACAGACACCCGAGGGAAAGCCTGGTGTCGGATCAGTGTTTGCGGCTGGTCCCGGGAGGTCAAAGGTCACCGCGATGACGACGAGGTCTGCGCTGCGAGCTCCTAGTAGCCTCGGAGGCCGGCATGTTTTTCTAATAGAGCCGCGGTGGAGCTGGGGAAGTCTGATCCTAATCTCAGGGGATAGAAATCCAATTTTCAGAGGAGACAGTTGAGAGTCTGGCTCTCCCCGTGTGAGAGGGATGACTGTCTCCCTGCAAAGCCCTCGCGCTTCAAACGCTCGGGTCCCGCTCTGTGCGGCCAGCGCTGATTCACATCGGTAATGACATGAACCCCGCCAGCACAGCACCGGTTTCCCTTTAGCTCCTCGCAGCTGAAGCAAAGAGAAAGAGCTTTGTTCACCGAGATAAAACCGATCATCACAAGAAAAACATCAGATCCCACAGTATTAATATCACAGTCTCTCTGATTCACCTCGCAGTCTCACTAAAGCCTAAAGGCCCGGCGTGTTCAGTAACGTGTTGCTGGTGCTGAAGGCATGATCGCAGCGATCGCGATTTCCAGCAGCACATGACTGAACGTGTACAGCGCGTCTGGATCCGAGCGTGTGACCGCGAGGTTTAACGTGGCTGTGGCGAGGCAGTGTAGAGTTGCAGGCTGGAGTTACGGTCACGGTGAAGCACGGCCGTGTTGCTCGAGGACAGAAAACCCAGACTCTGACCTCCGTGGCAGACGTGAGAGCGAGAGGAGGAGAGACAGTTGGATAATTGCGTGCGTGCTGGAATCTGTGATGTGTGAGATGAGAGAGCAACAGAGGGATGATGAAGGATGAGAGGAGGGAAATAAAAATAAAAAGATTCTGCAACAAGAACAAACAAGACGAAGTTTGAAAGGTGACGAGGCTTCATGCACACACATACGTGTTCTTTTTAAAACGCAGCTCTGTTGCTAGGTTTACTTTGAGAGCCTAAATAAGACAAGTTTTAAAAACGCTCCTTGGTTTCGAAACGTCGTTAACTTTCGCTCTTACAGTAAAAGACGGACGGAAATCCATAAAGTGTCACATCTTCCAAATCATCAGAAAGTAAAGAGACAGTGGACAGAAATAAATGATCTATTTAAAATACCTGTTGTCAGCCTCAGAAATAAAATAAAAAAATCAAAGCAGATAAAGACGAAGAGACGTCTGCTGATATTTGACGCTGCAATATCCTGCTTACACCGTGATCACTTACCAGAGGAAAACAGGAGCGGCTGGGTTTTATTCCCCTGGAGGCTGAGGTTTCTTCTCAGTGGATTTCAAATTCATTTCTTTTAATGTTGCTTTTCAAATCCAGATTAAATTTCAGCTGCTGTTACTGTTGCAGCCACTGTGTTATATTTGAGGCTTCCACCTTTACTTGGTTTGAAAGAATTAAATCAGAAGTCTCATATCATCTGCAGCGTGCTGTGGTTTTTTTTCTCAGCTGGTTTCGTCTTCGCAGAGTCGTTCTTAATTCGCAAAAAAACAATACGAACATGGCCGATAACTGTGATTTCAACATTTATCCATCGGGCAGTTGTAGTCAGTTTAAACTGTGTTCAACATGAACAGTTGCTATTGTGCTTAAAACTGCACCAATCAGTGATAAAGTAAAGTACTGAGTCGTAAATGTTCATTATCCCGGGAAGGAAAGCGCCAGCGTGCAGGATCAGCTGTCGGCTCCAGTGAGCTGTGGACGTTACGAAGGTTTTCTTCTGAAACTGCAGGAACACACATGGTGCTTGAGGTCAGACGTCTCACACTGTCACTGTTTGTTTAAAGCTGTGTGATGAAGACTGTCAAAGCTCCGTGTGGGACGTGTCCTCAGGGTCTGAGTCAGGTGATAGAGAAGCAGACGAGCGGCTTCGCATGGAAAATATATCACGTTATGATGCGATGAATGATGCATTTAACCAGGGACGCTTATATTAATGATATACAGACACATAATCTAATAAAGAGTGAATGCACTGGTGCTTTTATCTTGTGCTGCATTACAACAGTAGTTTTTTTTAAACTGATCTTAATACTTTAAAGTTTAACCTGCTGTCAGTCGACCTGTGGAGCTAATTTAGTTTTTAGCGACATTTAGCATTTTTCATAAGAACATCAATCACGTCAGCAGACGACAGGTGTCCATCACACGTTGTCCCTGCGTCGCAGAATTCTTCTCGTGAATATATAAAAATTGTCGTATAAGCTGTTGTTGTGGAAACATTCTTCTACCCTTCGTCCTTGGCTTGATTGTGAAAAGGAAATCCATCTATTGACAAGACCGTGTGAAGCATTGGCATTGTTTCTATG